AACATAAACAGTGAACCATGGTTAAACACCTCTAAATAACATCAATAACAGAACTAGCAACCACATGCTAACCTGACAGCAGTGACCGACTTGCAATGTATTGACTGTCAGCTGGCTACAGTATCTTTACGTTTATAATAACAGTGAAAAAGCGATCTGGTCATAAAATCTCGTGGACAACAGATCACAGCTCACACTGCTGCAACTGTAGCTCATTTTGTTTGTCAATTGGCTTACAGGCTAGCAAGTTTAGCCAGCTAACCAGGGAAGCTGGCTAGTCTCACCGTGCGCTAGTTAGCTAATGCTAACGTCGAGAACTACGTTTTTTTTCATGATATAAAGGTAATATAAGGTAATTAGCGCAACTTCTTAACTACAACAACCACTCAAAAGCAATAGTTTATGTTTGCATCACGGCACCAGAATAAAAACAGCCATTTCTCACCATGTTTGTCTTTGCCTGACTGCCTTTCCTCCCATCCAGCTGGCTACTGCGAGTAAAGTTTTTTCAAGTAAAAATAAAAGTTCTTCCGGTTGAAGCCTCGCTATTAAAAATAAAAGCACACCATTAGTCCCATCTAGATTATGCCATATCCTAAAGTGTTAAATTATTTGATTTTATATTAATTACCTAACACAATACACCAATCTATCGTAAAGTGGAGAAAAGCACTTGATTAAAGTTTGAGAGTTCAAACGAGAATTTGAACATATTACACGTGTCCTGTTTTATTTTGGAGCATCTTTGCGGAAGTGACTCGAGGTTTATGAAACAAGTCCTCCATGTCCGACCTACCAGACGGTGCTCTGAATGTTCAGAACTGCTCTAACGAGGTTTCAGAACAAATGGAGGTCGTACAGGCACAGGTTCGTGCCTTGGGTTGTACTCAACTTGTCTAAAAATGAGAAAACTCTGCGGCAGGTGAAGAAGAGCTCGAAAGACAAACTGGTCCCGGACGAGGAGGTCTCACAGAGGCTACTGGAGCTCTTCAGACTCCTGCCCAGCAGTCAGCGGGCTCTTCATGGGGCTGCTCAAACTCACTTTCTCAGACAGGTAACAAGTACTGAAGACCGGTGTGGTGGAGGAAATGCAGTGTGTGGACAGGATGCCATGGTACAGTCTCTGGGATTCTGCATTGACCGGAAGCCCAGCTCTTTGCCCTCTGCAGGGACCGGAGTGTTTGTCACCAGAGGATTTGTGCCCAAAGGAGCTACAGTTGCCATGTACCCTGGCACTGTCTATCAAGCCTATGAGCCCATTCTCCTCCAGTCCATCAGAAACCCTTTTGTGTTCAGGTGTATTGATGGTGTCTTGCTTGATGGGAATGACAAAGGTATCTCCAAAATGGTGTTCAGGTCATGCAGTGGCAGGGACAGAATAGGACCTTACATGATGAGTGACACCAGCTGGCTGACAGATAGTCCACGAAACCCTCTAGCTGTGGGTCAGTACGTGAACAACTGCTCCAATGAGTGGCCTGCTAACGTGTGCTATCAGGAGTACGATGTGCCAGACCAGTTCCCCATCGAGCTCCGCCAGTATCTGCCTAATGTCAACTACAGCCCGGACACACACAGGCCTCTGCGCTGTGTGGTCCTTGTATCACTCAGAGACATTACAGCAGGGGAGGAACTCTTCTCCAACTACTTCACCATTGTGCATTAGAGTCCAAGTACACTCCACTCACGCTCTGCTGTGGTGCAGAGAATGTTTTTTAAATTTAAACAATATTATTATTGTCTGTCTTCCATATGGGAGGGGGGACATTTAAAATCTATCTTTGTACACTGGAATAAAGGTGAAATGTGTCTTGAACAGTTTATTGTTATATGCAAAAAACAGAACTGCTCTTGTTGAAGGGTAATGTAGGAATATACAGAAAGATTATTAATTAAAGAGGATTAATTATAGGCTATGGAAATAGGCCACATATTTCCTTGAGTAAAAGTAGTAATTACCTAAATTCAAAAGTACACCATTACAAAGATGCAGCGTTCAAAATGTTACTTAAGTAAAAATACAAAAGTGGTATAAGCAAAATGTATCCAAAATTTAAAAATATACATAATGCAAAACAGCAGTTTTTAGAGTGTTATTTATTAAATAAAAATTATATTTTATAGTATAGGATATGTATTACTGTTGTATTCATATGTAAGAGAAGCACGCTGTGATAGAGGTGGAGCTAATACTGCTGGGTAGTGTAATCTATGTGGTGCTCATAGGATGATAACTTTAAATTTTAGTAACAAGTATCTCTAGGAGCATAAACTGGAAGTAAAGTTCAAGACAACCTCATAATTGTACTTTCCAGGAAATGAAACTTAGCCTTACAGGAAACAGATCAATGTACTGCTCAGAGCTGTCTTTGCTGTGGGTGGAAGGATCAAATTCTCAGTTTCAAGTTCAGTTTTAAAAAGTGTTAAACTTGTATATCAAGTACATTCAAATCTAGTGCTAAAAACAGTAGAGCTGACAATCTGCACACACACCCTGTGTTAAACATGTTCTGAAACAGTAGAGGGAGCAGGTCCTCCAAGTATCAGGAGTAATTCACAAGCCAACTCTTTTATATAACAAAATGATCAAATGCTGGCAACAGAGACGAGACAGCAAAGACACACAGACATAACTTGGGAGAGTCACAGTGAGCTAAATTCAACATTTCACAGAAAGGGGAAACACATGAACAGTGTACGTAATGTAGTATTAAACAGGGAGAGAAAGCTACCAACTAACTGGCAGCAAATCGTCTCTTCAGTCTGAAATTTGTCTTCTTACTTTAGTTCAATAATTGTATTTCAGCCTCACGCGAACACTTCCCAAAAATGTTGCACAACCTTGTCAAACGAGTTTTGACCCGTTAGAGACACTGTAGCAGCCCAAGCACTACTTATTACTGCAATATCCTTCCGCTGATAAATATAGTCTGGAACATTTTTCACATTGTTATCGGATATTTAAATATAGATTTGTATACAGAAGATACATAATAAAATGTAGTGTAAACCAAACATTAAGTCGGTCAACTGAGACGGTACTGACAACCAAACGGAGTATTAAGTTCATCAGTGAAAGTAGTCCGGCTGCATAAAGGCAGTTGGCGTCGCCATCAGCGATCTTTCCAGTCGCATGCTGAAGTTGGGAACGGATCATGTCTAGCGATTCTGCTGATTACAACAGGTAAAATCGTATATTTGGCCACATTTTTGAAACAGTATTCGTTTTATAGGGGTACACAAGCTTGTCACGCTGGTGTCTACTCTGTATGATGCCGTATTTTAATTATTTGAAGCTAACTTTGTAGGCCCCAACTGCTGTGAGGGCGATGTGGTTGCTAACAGTTAGCTTTGTGACACCGTTGCGCCACCGCAGTTCCAAATGGCCGTTAGTGGCCGGTTTGATTTAAAGGGCCTTTGTTTTTCTAGTGTCTTAATATAAAATTCATCAAGACCGAGTTGTATTTCTAAAGTAGCTTCTTGCTGCCGTGGTCGATGGTTGGCTTAAAGTCAGAGGAGCCGCCTGGCCTGGCTTCAGCTCGGCCTAGTTCTCAGGAAGCCACCGTTGGTAGCGCAGGCCCAACTGTCCGACATATTGGCTAACTGTAAGTGAAGCAGAGCTCCATGTTGAGATGTGCTGAACGTGTACAGACGGGACTTTATCGCCTTTAGAGACCGACGGTGGCATGGACCACAGTGGGCGTGTGAGCCGGTCTGAACCGTTTTCGAGGTTATATAAGCGGTCATTTTAGGAGCGCCAGGTAGTTGAGCTCTGCTCGTGGAATTTGACACGTGCGCCCGGCGCAGCCCCGGACTCTGTAATGAGAGACTCTGGGCGTAACCCGGACCACCGAGGACCTGCTCACTACACATCTGACGCACATTTTACGTTATAATCGTGAGTCAACATGAAAAACGCGGGGTTTTTTTTCGTTTCCCGACCACGAGTTTCATGACACGTGGTGGGTAAGACTGCTGGTTGTAGTTGCATGTCCACCCTCAAGACCTTCAGAAACCATTTGTGATGGTGATTATAATTTAAAAGTTGACATGTGAAAGTGAAATTTGACCTGTATCACTCCTTTTTAACAGCTCAAAAGATAGAGACCATGGGGGACCAGATGGGATGGAGCCTGATGGTGTCATCGAGGTACGTACATGACTAAACTTCATTAATTATCTCATTTAGTATGGAGTTTGTAATTGCGTTGACTCACAAGCCACTGTTTCTTAAATTCAGAGCAACTGGAGCGAGATTACGGACAACTTTGATGATATGAACCTGAAGGAGACTCTTCTCAGGGGAATATATGCATATGGTTTTGAAAAGCCATCTGCCATTCAACAAAGGGCAATCATTCCTTGCATCAAAGGTACAGAAACCATACTTTACTGACCAGTGGATTGTTTGTTCTGAGTGAAGTGATGCTTTACCATCTTTCGGGACTTACCCAATAATGGGGATAACTTTGTTTGTACTGATCACTCAATACTGTTATATCAAATGTCTTTCGTTAACTGCTGCGAGGCAATCTAACTTGACACGATCCTATGAAACTTCTTTATATAGAGGTGATTTTCATTTTTCTTACTAAAAATGTGTCCCCTTGCTTTCAGGCTATGATGTCATTGCCCAGGCCCAGTCAGGCACTGGCAAGACGGCCACGTTTGCCATCTCTATCTTGCAGCAGCTGGACATTGAGCAGAAGGAGACTCAGGCTCTGGTGTTGGCTCCCACCAGAGAGCTGGCTCAGCAGGTATGCTGTTCCTGAGGTCACGATAACCTCAGTGTCTCAGACCTAAACAGCACATTGAGGACACTGATTCAAGTACTAAGGTACCATTTTTTTAAATCCTGTCAAAATTCAGAAATTGTGAAACACAAAGTATCCTCTTAGGATTGGTGTAGTCTCTGTCCATGGCTGCATTGGTCTAAAAGGTGATCTGGCTTCATTGGATTGATTTGTGCTTTAAATATTCATATTTTGCTGTGGAAAACTGAGTGATATGATGGCATACCATCTTTCGGGACTGACTCTTGAAGTGGAGAGTTCTTTTTATTTTACTGATCACTTTGAACAGTTCTACACGCTTGTGTTAAAATGTCCTTTCTTGCCATCCCTAAAACATCATCCTGACTTTCTTCTTTTGTTTTTTTTCTTTGCTCCCATCTCCCCTCATTAGATCCAGAAGGTCATTCTGGCTCTGGGTGACTACATGGGGGCAGCCTGCCATGCCTGTATCGGAGGAACCAATCTCCGTAGCGAAATACAGAAGCTCCAGGCTGAGGCCCCTCACATAGTGGTGGGCACACCAGGACGTGTGTTTGACATGCTTACTAGAGGACACTTGTGTAAGTATCAGTTTTAAGAGAAAATCATTATCACATGGTTGCAGTTCAATTCCCAAATTAAAGTTAGACTTTTACACATTTCTTTGCAGCCCCAAAATGGATCAAGATGTTTGTTCTGGATGAAGCTGATGAAATGTTGAGCCGAGGGTTCAAAGATCAGATCTATGAGATCTTCCAGAAACTGAGCACAAACATTCAAGTAAGTATATTTTGACTTCAGGCACACAGCATCAGTTGATAGGTTAGCTATACTGCCCTTCTGCAATAACAGAAGTCTGCTATAATTGTGTGATTCAGATTTGATCTGTTTCATGCAATAATGCTAGCAGACTATTACGTGGAAGGATATCATTAAGCACTGTACTGAAAATGAGATGTTGTCGAACCTCTTTCTTAATGTTCATTGGCCTCTGTCTCAAGGTGCAGTGCCACACCTGGGTTTGCATTTAGGGGTTTTACTGTTGAAACACTGAACTCTATTTTTATTTTTCTATCTTTTAATCTTATGGAATATTACGTGATTGTCTACTACAGGTGGTCCTGCTCTCAGCCACCATGCCAGCAGAGGTGTTGGAGGTGACCAAGAAGTTCATGCGAGACCCCATTCGCATCTTGGTGAAGAAAGAAGAGCTTACCCTTGAGGGTATCAAGCAGTTCTACATAAATGTAGAGCGAGAGGTGGGTTTACACAACATTTTTAGCAAGCTGCTTTTCACTGCTATGAAAGTCAGAAGTCCCTTCTCAATAAAGCACCCTGCTGGAACTGCAGGAGCCAGGCCGCACAGGTTTAGCTCATGTGGCCGTGTAAGCATGGGTACACCAGGGAAGGAGATAAAAGGCACAGTATCGCAAATGAGGCTTGGAGGGACCTCTTTCTAAATGTCCAGTGTCCTTCGTCTCAAGATCCTGTGTTACACATTAGATTTTATTTTTTATATGGACTTTATAGATGCTCGATGAGTGGTCTTGTAGCAGGTTTGCAATATGACTTGTCAGGTTAACTTAGTTCACTTGACAATGTGTTACTATGCATAACGTTTTGTTTTTCATGGATGTCTCTAGGAGTGGAAGCTGGACACCCTGTGTGATCTGTATGAAACACTGACAATCACCCAGGCTGTCATCTTCCTCAATACCAGGAGAAAAGTTGACTGGTTGACTGAAAAGATGCACGCTAGAGACTTCACAGTCTCTGCTCTGGTAAGATCTGTTCTGTCAGCCTGGTTCTACAACTGTTGTTGGATCAAGACCTGTCAAGGCTTATCTGCGTTAATGCTGCACATTTTCCTTTCTAAAATAATTCTCGCTTCACAGCACGGTGATATGGACCAGAAGGAGCGTGACGTGATTATGAGGGAGTTCAGATCTGGCTCAAGCAGAGTTTTGATCACTACTGATCTTCTGGTTAGTAGGAGGTGCTATGTGTTGTGGGGGGCAATATCAACTGTGAAGTTAAAACCCAAAATGTTTTAAATCCTGCAACAGTCCTTAAATGACCAAGCAGTCAAACTTTTGGGAGATCAGGGCTCGTTCTCCACAATGGGTTCTTCTACTGTAGGAATCTGTTACTTTATTTACGAGCGACATTAACATTTGCACAATGTTTTAACTGCATGCATCTTAGACCTAAATATAATTTGGATTTCTTTTTTTTTCTCAGGCTCGTGGGATAGATGTCCAGCAGGTTTCCCTGGTCATCAACTATGACCTTCCTACAAACCGAGAGAACTACATTCATAGGTGAGTTGCGTCCTATATTGCACCAGTATGTAAACCTCAAACTACTGTGTGAGGCTTAACGTGGTTCATATTTACTCTCTCTGCAGAATTGGTCGTGGTGGCCGTTTCGGCAGAAAAGGAGTTGCTATCAACTTCGTCACTGAGGAGGACAAGAGGATTCTTCGGGACATTGAGACGTTTTACAATACTACAGTGGAGGAGATGCCTATGAATGTGGCTGACCTGATTTGAGCCCTGAGATATTTCTTTTTATTTTAAACGCAGTGATAGCGATCGTCCACTTGCATTGTGCTTATATTATTCGAGGGGGAAAAAAAACTTCTCAATGCTAAACCTTGGATCAGAATTTTGGTATGTGTTAAAAGCGAGGTGACTTCTATGGTGGTCCCTCTCGGACAGTTGTAGATTCTAACCTTGACAGTCGGCTGGTTGGAGCTACAAAGCCATGGGGTCTGTAAACATAAAGGTCCTTATCAGGTATTTCTTTCCATGTTCAATTAAGATGTGTGTATTCGATGTTCTCCACCATTTAGTAACTTACTTGTGGACTAAAAGGTATAAGTGCTGTATAAAGTCTGCAAATTATGTTATGCTAACATATGTACGATGTATTGTGGGCCTGCTTAATAGAGGCACTTGTCATGTTATATTGTAGATTCACTTGCTTTTTGTTATCTTTTGTGAATGTTTTAATTTAAATGTACCATACATTTATTTTTTTTTAATCCCACTTGCTCTATCAGAATTCCTCACTGGTTGGCCATATTTAGCTAACGTGGTTTTACCCTTACCAGAGTATATTGCTATTTACCCCCTTGACTACTTTTCAGATTTCTTCCTTCCCAGAATTGTATGAATGTCTTAATAAACTTAAATTGCTGTAAGTAAACTTGCTTTGTCTGTTATGGTGTACTAGTGTTCACAGGACTATGTACTTTATGACAGGGTCACAATCTGCAGAGAACAGCACATACTTTCAACATGGCTGTAGAAGCAGGTAGAATGAGTAGGCACAGGTCAGGAAGATGGGACACAGCACCACCTACTGGCACTTCAGCAGACTAGAAAGTGGCAGGCAAGTGTCACTAGTGTACTCGCGTATTCACAAAAGTCGAAGGAGAATGCTTACTTGGTAAAGTCAGATGTAGCGTGAACTTGAATGTCTTACACTTTTCTTGCGCAGTTGGATGATGTTTGCTTGGAGAAGTAAAGATCTGCAGTTAAAATCGTGTAGATTTTATTTCAGTGTAATTCAGCACATTCCCACTTCAATAGTAAACAAGACATTTATTTTGAGATTTGTGAAAAGCACACACTTCAGTCTCCTGCTTTGTCTTTTTTGAAGAATTCCATTCATAAAGGTTTCTGAGAAAGTATATAAGGCCATATAACAGAATCAATACAGTTAACTCAATACCTGTTAATAATGTTGAATATTACTCATTAGACCATTTTACACATTGCATCCCGTGGTGCATAAACTGTTTCATTTGTTCTGGGATTGAACAATTTTAGATCCACATTGATGAAATACTTTGCTCGAGTTGCTAGCATCAAGCAGAAAGATATTTCTTTTTAAGACCGCTCAGTATCAAAGCTTTCTTTAAAATCACTTACTGAACATTTGTTTTGGAAGGACTCATTTTCTGTTTGATCTCAGCACTAGTGTGTTTCCAGAGATGATTCAGAAACATATCAACCTGATCCTCTCTACTTCACACTACACAGTTCAGTACCATCCACAATTATTATTAGCCTCGGAAAAACATTGTTATATTCTCATCAGCATTCCGCTTACACAGGTTTTCATTTTCTGACTGACAATTTGTTTAATTACATTCCTATCTTCACATTGGCCTGAGGGTGTTCACTTATCTGTAGATGCATCAATACACACAGCAGATATAAATATAAATAACTAATTTATCACAGCTTTACTGGCAATCAGGAAGGAAACGTTGGTGTTTTTCTGCAAGGTGCCAAGTCTTGACTGTGAATTGCAGGCTCCACAGCTGAATGAATGTTGAAGATTATGATATGCTCACTTTAAGTGCACACTTAACAATTAAAAGCAAATAGTATCTTTAAATCTTTAAAAAGTTGTACTACAGTACTCTGCAGAAGTCTTAGGCAGGTGTGAGAAAATGCTGTAAACTAAGTTGTTTACTTTTTTTATCAATTTACAAAAGAAAAATCTAAATCAAATCAACATTTGGTGAGACTACCCTTTGCCTTCAGCCCACCATCAATTCTTATAGGTACACTTGCACAGAGTCAGGGTTTTTGTAGGATTACAGTCAGGTGTATGATCAACAGGTTCTACCAAACAGATGATAATGATCATCAGTTTCACATGTAGGTTGAATGTGTGTGTGTGTGTGTGTGTTATTGAGGAGAGAGTGCTGGGGAAATATGGCAGGGTGGAGAACATTGAGGTACATTATGCAACCCAACCATGCACGAAAACAGGAACTGCAGGCAACAGTGGAGCAGGGTGGAGGTTCTTTGTAAATGTTGGGGCTGCAATTCTGAAAATGGATCAAAAATTTCAGGACTAATACAGACAGACACTTAACCATCATACAGAACCAACAGGGGGGCGTATGACTGGACCCACATTTATTCTGCAGCAGGACAACGACCCCGAACATACAGCCGATGATCTTACAGTCTTATCTTATACAGAGTGCTGATCTCATCATCGGGTCTGTGTGGGGTTACATCAACATTGACAGTTTATATATAAGAAGATAGATTGTGTTACTGCGTTGCCTATTTCTCGCTTAAAATCGTTTCAGAAACATATTTTACTGTAATGTTCAGCCGTTATACGAGATCACATGTGACCAGGCGAGCCGCCATTGTTTCGGGCTACGGACGAATCAAAACTGCGCAGCCAATGAGCGCTGAGCAACTGGCAGTACGTCACGCTGGCTCCGTTTCCATTGCGGTTCTCTTCAAACCAATGGCTGAAGGGTGTTG